AAAGTCACCGACCGACTGAAACTGGACGTAAAGCACGTTGCCTGAACCAGTATAAATCTTGTGTCATTGAGTGCTAGGCACATCCGATCAGAACGCACGGCAAAACTACAAATATTTATTGGGAAAATGGTGTTTTTGCCCATGTCCAGAAGTTCAATGGTGATTTTACCCTTATTTTTTCAACTTTGTGATTTTACCCCTGTTATTTTGAAACGAAGGAGCAATTTGCACCTGCTTTGGATGTCCATTATTTAGAGGTTGATTAAACGATTAAAAAAAATAAAACACATAAAATCATATGCGAAATGACTAAAATGTCCTTATCACAGTTATCACATCCGCACCATGTCCACCGGTGCCTATTGGGCAGGGCGCGCGACATCGACGGGGGAGGCACGGCCGGTGTGGCAAGGCGGGCGCTGCGGTGGGAGCGGTGGCCGCGATGGGGGCGCGGCTGGGTGGGTGTTGTGGCCGTGCGAGCTCGCTGCGCGGCGGGTGCTGCTGGGCGGGTGTCGCGGCATGGCCAGCGGGCACGCTGCGTGGCGGGTGCGTAGGCGCGCAGCTAGGCGGGCGCGGCAAGGCAGGCGCTGCGGTGGGTGTGGCGACTGCGTCGGGGGCCCGGCTCGGCCGGCGCTGCAGCCGTGCGAGCTCGCGGCACGGCGGGTGCCGTTGGGCGGGCGTCGCGGCATGGCCGGCGGGTGCGCAGGCGCGCAGCTCCCTCTCTCATCTCTGCCTCTCGCCACCGCTTTGCTCTCTCGCTCTCCTTCTCTGCCCTCGCCGAAGCCGCCACCATCGCTGCGCTCTTCCTCTGCTCTACCCTCTCTCCCTCTCTGCTCCACCCCACCGGACCGACGCCGGCGCATAGCTGCTCCGCTCTCTCTCTGCCTTGCTCCCTCCTCTCTCCCTTTCCTCTCTCCCTCTCTCTCACACTTTCTCTCCGCCTCTCCCACGACCGAGGCAACAGGGGATGAGGACGGACCGAGGCCGTTCGCCCCAGGCCACGTCACCTTGGCCAATGGACGGGCGACACCTCACCTTATGGGTCCCACCTGTCATTGGTACAGAGACCCACCCCCTCTCTCTTTCTCTCTCTGTAGACCCGGTCTTCATAGACCAAAGGGAGAAAGAGGATAGGTCTATAGATCGGTGCATAGGCATAGTGCCAGTCAGCTCTGACCTCTGACTAGCCACACGCGTCAGACTCTAAGCCGCAGGAAAAATGCTATGTGCACACAGGGAAAAAGTCTAATTCCAAATCAGGGTAAAATCACAATTAGGCATAACAAACAGGGGCAAAATCGCATGGGCATTCATGTCCTTTTGTACAAAGTTTAACACCGTTAGGGGTGGATGACGGAGCAGGGGCAAACTAGTGCTTCGTTTTGAAATCATAGGGGTAAATTCACAAAGTCAAAAAAACAGGGGCAAAATCACAATTTCGATACAAAACAAGGATACAAACGCAGTAGCCCCATATTTATTTGTTGGTCACTTTTCACACCGATAGTTGGCACCGTCCGTGGGGTGGATGCCGTGTGTTCACACTTTTGGTAATCGGATGTCCCACCTTTCCACCATCTTTGGCATGACGGGCTCAAGCGATACGATTCGCTTTGGCTCGCTGGAGTTTTCCACGCTCCCACCTGTTGGGATGTGGGTTTCTCCCGTCTTCGAGCCGCTCCAGACTTTTCTTTTTGGAAGCCTGGACTTCGTCGTCGACCAGCTCGGCGTGCTTCGCCTCCTCAAGGAGGCGCTCATCCCGGCGTCCACTAGAGGAGGAGTGCCCTTCACTGGCCTTGGGCCACTCGATGACCTCAACATCGAGACACTTGTGCTTCACCTTGAGCCCATGCTGGGCTCAAACCCCACGGTGAATGATGTACATATTGTTATTTACTCACTATTTAACACCTTCCGCTGACTCTCCGGGGGGACCCCGTTGTCCCCACCACGACCGCCGTGCGACCGATTCCCCTACGGCTTGGTGTCCCCCGTGGACGCGTGCACACAGGGGCTCCGAAGGATGCTGACGCTGCCCCTCTCACGTCCGAGTTCATGGGGATGGCGGGCTATGCTCTCGCCTCCTTCCACAACCTCGTTGATGACGAGGTCGAAAGCGACGGCTCCAGCATCGGCGACGTTGTGGCACCTGGCCACCCTCTGTCCTGGGAGTGCACTATGGCGGATGCCCCGAGACAGCCACCGGTGGTAGTGGAGTCTCTACAGACTCACACCCCTCCAGACCCCCGTGCGAAGGCTCTAGCGCGTGCGAAGGAGCACGGCGAGGAGTTACGACAAAGGCGGCAGAGCCAGCCGCCACTTGTGCTGGCGCGCTTGGCGCAGCACGCTATGCCACATGCGCTTAACCCGACGATCGGTGCTCGGGGTCGTGCCCGTCATGTCTAGCATAGCATCCTAGACGGAGGGGACGACCCCCTCAGTTTGCTCGGGCTAGCCAGAACATCGCTGCTGCGGCGATGCTTCTGCGCGGCCTCCCCGAGCCTGCCGACCCCCTGGACCAGGCAATCCACCAGAACCTCCGGGCGCTGGTGGAGACCGCCGCCGTTCAGCAGGCGGAGAGCTCCGCGTCGCGACACCGACTTGCGGCCTCTTGCCCAACCAGGGGACTGGAGCCGCATCAGTCGAATCGCTCTGTCCACTCACCGCAGTAGTTGCTAGGCATGGAGCAGGAAGCCGCGGCTGCACCGCAGCCCAACCCGACGCCCGCTCCAAACCGACCACCTGTACGCGAATGGCTCGGGCCGAACCGTGACGCTCACAGCGTCATCAACAATCGACGCCACGCCCGGCATGACGATGACGTCCACCGAATGGCGGTGAGAGCAGGCGGCACTAGCCTCGGCCTGACCATCGAGGAGTGTGAGGACCGCACCTCAGGCATGGCGACTGACCGAACGACTAGAGCCCCAGTTCGGACGGCCTGCGGCCACGGGCCTTTGGTCGCCGCATCTAGAAAGCGTTGTTCCCGCAGTGCTTCCCACCGCCCACCAACATCGCCAGGTACACTAGGGAGACAAACCTCGGTTTATGGCTTGAAGACCTCTGGCTCGACTGCCAAGCCGGAGGAGTGGATGATGACTACTTCATCATCCAGTACCTCCCCATCTGCGTGGGGGAGCATGTTCGAGCATGGCTCGAATTCCTTTCGCCCGACAGCATCCGCGACTGGGTGGATCTCAAGAGGTTCTTCGTCAGAAATTTTCGGAGGACATATGTCCGCCCTAGGGATTCCTGGGACCTCACGAGCTGCTAGCAGGAGCCCAACGAGTCCCTGCGGGATTACATCCGCAGGTTCTCAAAGCAGTGCAACTCCTTGCCTGATGTCATCGACGCGGACGTCGTCAGCGCGTTCCTCTCTGGGACAACCTGCAAGTCCCTGATCCACAAGCTTGGCTGTGTGAAGCCCCGTACCACCCGTGACCTACTCGACATTGCCACGAACCACGCCTCCGGAGAGGAGGCGGTCAGGGCGGTCTTCAGCAGCAGTCGGGACAGGGGCAAGGCCAAGCACGAGGACCAAGGCGAGGGCCCCTCCACACAAAAGGGCAAGAAGAACAGGAAGGATCGGCGCCGACCGGCCAACCCAGCTTTGGTCGCCGCGGCCGACCGTGCGGGCAAGCAGCCCCAGCAGGGATAGCCAGACCACTTCGACCTTCCGTAGTTCGCTATAACGACTTATACCGACCTTCCGTTGGATGCTATGGATGGGCTGTGGTATAGTGTATTTATGTTTGCTGAAATAGAAATGGGGTTACCCTCGTGTGGAAAAAAATGAATTTTTGGTTGCCGAGCAACATATGATGGGATAAATCCATCTCTAAATGGGATGGTTTCATGTATTTGTTTGGTTGGAAAGTGGACCGGTTGGTTGGTTGGTTGCATGGATGTTTAAGTGGGAAGAATGGCAGGCCGTTTGCAAATAAAGCCAATATCAGATGGCCTTGAGGAGTGGCAATATTAATGGGGATGCATTCGATGAGAACTGAAGATATTGCCATATATATCCACACCGCCTGATAAGGGCCCCATACTCGCAGAGTCACTGTCAGCCCTGAATTTGTTGCAAGTTATACTCACAGAGGCATAGTCAACACTAAAACTGTTGCAGGTATTCGTTAGTCATAGTCAGCACTGAAACTGTTGCAGGTGTTCGTTATGGGAAATTACGCTGCAATGCAGAGGGCAACACAATGGAACTTTGGTTTCACGGAGCATAGTGAACAATAAGGTGATATATAGGTGGCAAGGTGGGTTACCTTCAGAATTTGCACTTGGACAGTTGGACGCTAGCTCCTGTCGGCTGTCGTTGTTGCACCACCTCAGCTGCCAGTTGTCGATCTCTAAGCAGGCCCCCCCCCCTTTAATGGAATTGTAAGCAGCCCGATTTAGGAGGGTCCTCACCAACACCATAGACCATAGTGGTCAAGGAGCCGTGCTCGTGTGTTACTGTCTGTGCTCCTACGACCAAGCCTGAATGCTAGCTACCAAAGCAAAGAACGTGCTTCCGTTCCGAGGAAATTATTAAACTTGCCACCAGTTCAGTCATCACTTCCCTCATCTAAGGCTCCGTTTGGTGAATTGGTGAGGCTTATATATATTCGTTTCGGCAGTTCGGCTTGTGCACTGCTTGCTTGATTGCCTCTCGCGTGCTCATGCAATGCAATAGCCGGCCACACGCTCAACACCACCACGCAAGCACAAACCATGGCGGGCGGCCCGGCCTCGTGTTTTCCCGCGCGTCGGCGCGCGCCTTGCTTTGGCCACTCAATTTTGCTACTGTGGTGTGATATGGCATATTCATTCCATTGAAATGCTCTGCACATATGCAAGCTGATCTCAATTAGAAATGGCAACAAACTCAGTTCTTTGTAGGTGCTCGTAGGGGTAGGGTGTGCGTGCGTGCATTCATATGGTGAGCGTGCGCTCGTGTATGTAAGTGTCTGCGTCTATAACTGGGTCTCGCAAAAAATATCTAGTTGTCAGCCTGGTCGCAATATATAGATTCCACCAGGCCCCCCATACGCAACGTGGAACACGGGCCCTGTCTTGCTAGTCCCCAAGGGATTAGCCCCATAGCAGCTAGGCGTGATGGTGACGATGCCGTAGACGGGGTTGATGAAGAGGGTGCTGTCGGAGGCGGCGACGCCGAGGTACTCCACACTGCCCATCGCCGCGGTGGTGTGCTTGTCGCCACGTCTGGTGTCCAGCACCCCGAAGCCATAGACGTACAAGCAACAAGCTCTTGATAAGCATATCTAAGGGGGCTCCAGAGGCTCAGCTGCAATAGGGGGCATAAGCCCCCCTGGTCGCGCTGCATTCAGGCGCAGCAGCACCCTCGCCTTGGCGCGCGGTGCTTCACATAGTTAGTGATAGCCCACACATACATGCGCACGACGATGGCTAGGGTGTAGAAGCTGAAGTCTATGCAATGCAGACGCTGGAAGGGCTAATGGACGTAGCCGGTGGCACGACAAGTCCTGGTCCGAACATGAAGAGGGTGATCAGTGCAATGTTCATGGTCACGAGGACCTCGGCGCACCTTGCAAAGCATGCCATACCGGACGATCTACAAAAGACATGGATGCCACACGTAGTTAGGGTAAGATCAAGATGTTTTTTTTGAAAATTTGGCAAAAGCTTTGCCAAAATATATTAGAAGGATGAAAGGGAAAAGGTTATTTAACAAAAGATTTACAAGGCTCTGCCGAACTCACCCAACCCTGTAAAAACACAGAACTTCAGCATGGAGATCTAAGGGGGCTCCAGAGGCTCGGCCGTAGTAGCGGGCATGAGCCTCCCCTAGCCGAGCGTCGCGTTCAGGTGCAGCAGCACCCTTGTCTTGGTCGTGACACACTGGGGAACGCTTGAGCCCTCCGTGTCCCCACCCCACCGCTAGATCCGCCCCGAGAGGAGGCAGTGGCACCCGGTGAGGAACAAATCACGGACAGCCTTGTCGTAGGGGGGGTGCTAGTGGAGGCGATGATGGGAGCCAATTGGAGGAAGAGTGGCGCCGGGTTGAACTTGGCTGCGATTCTAGCGATGTGAGTGCCATAGAGCTAGGCGCCTCGCCCGGTGGCAAAGCAGAGGCAGTTGCAGGCGTGGCCACCGTGGCTTGCTCCAATCCTGGCTCCAGCTCCGGCAGTGGCAGCGCTGTGAAAGTGAGCGCCTCGCCCGGCACCGTGGCCGGCTCCCTGGCGTCAGATGGTGCGGCCGCCACAGCAATGATAATCAGTAGGAGCTGGGTACTCATGATTGGGTTGGGAGGAAGAGAGGGGGATGTGAGGAGAGGCCGAGAGGGATGCCCTAGCTCTTTCCTGCTCCTTTTATAGACAGCCACTGGGTCTAGAATGTGGCTCCTTAACCTTAATACTATTAGTGGTTTTAAGAGAAAAATAGGGTTGTGGGGTCCACCTATTAGCTGTTATTATCTCATTTGGTCCAATTAGTGGGATAGTTGTTATATAGAGGTCCAACTAATAATTATCTAGTCCACTATCAATACCTATTGAGATCCAAAAGAAATTATTATTAGCAGATAGCTACTATCTGCTAGGAACCAAACATGGCCTAACTTTTGTAGAGCAGGTCCTCGTTGGACCGTGGATTGGTGGCGCGAACTACGAAACTAGGGCGCACGAAGGCAGGCAAGCAAGCCACAGCACATAAATCAAGTTGTAGCATGGCCTGTGTGTCATATGATATGATCAATGACGACGACGACGAGCTGCGACAATTAATTCGTTGGCTTGTGGTCCGAGTGCAAAGCTCTCAGCTCAATGATCGGGAGGATGAGATATTGAGATGAAATGGCGACATGGCAATATATACGTCCGGCAAATACTCATTTAGGTTGTGTAGTATGCTGGTTGGTTGCCGAGGTGGCGAGGTTGATCACATTATAGAGATGTGCGTTAATATATCGGAAGTGCTACGGTGAGGACCTATGATCCTCCGAACACTCCCGTTCGCGGGCCGCAACACCAGCCGAATGGCCTAATAGTCGTAATCTCTCATCCATGAGGCCCTAACCGTAACATGATGTTTCCATTCTCCAGAAAAAATCATTGCAGCTCGAGCGGACACGCTCCGCCGCGCCGCCCTAGTGTTATCCACGGAGGTTGGGGGCCCAACGGCCAGCATCTCCACCATGCCCGAGCGCGTCCACCCACCTTGATCCCTCTCCATCGCGCCTCCCAGCTGCCTGCCTTCCTCTTTCTCCATCGTGCCTCCATACGTGCCGCGGCCTTCTCCATCTCGCTGGCTGCCTTCTCCACCGGAGCAGCGACAGCTCGCGCTGGACCCGCCATGGCCTTCTCCACCGGAGCAGCGACAACTCGCACTAGCACGAGATCGAGAGCACCACCATCCAGCACCGTGCCGATCCACCTCGCGCCGTCGACAGGAAGGGGAGGCCTGCGCCACCGTAGTTCCCCACCAGGTAGGCCATGGCCGCGCGACGATGCTGTGTTTTCAAGTGTTTATGGACATTTTTCAGACATGTTGCGAGCCAATGTTTCAAGTGTTTCAGTTGTTTCAGATGTATGTTTCATGCAAATGTTGCAAAAGTAGTTAGGGATGTTGCATATGTTGCAATGGTGGTACATGTATGTTGCAAACGTCTATCCCCAATGTTTTATCTATTTTTGTACATATATTGCAAGTCTTTCAGATGCATGTCTCAAGTGTTTCATCTATCTTCTTTTGTATGTTGCAAGTGTTGCATCTGTATGTTTTAAAAGTAGATTGGGATGTTGCACATGTTGCAATGGTGTTTCAACTGTATGTCCCAAATGTTTCATCTGTTTTAGACGTATGTTGCAAATATTTCATCTAGATGTTGCCAAAGTGGATCTGGTGTTTGAATGTTTTAGTGGGACCCACCTGCCACAACCACCTGTTTGCAGCTACTGGGCCTGCGTGCTTGCGTGTGGGAGCAGAGGGGTAGCCCTGCGTGGGCATGCACATGCGCAAGAAACGGAGCGACATCCCCATGCGAAGCAGGCGCAGACGCGCGGGTGGGCACGCATGCAGGAGCGTACAGTGTCCGGGCGCTTGCAGTTCCGTTATTATATACACCCTCCATGTGAAAAGAGTGTAATTCTAGCTTTTTCCTAAGCCAATCAATCTCAAATCTAACCAATTGGTACAAAACTAAATGTCGGGTTCATAAACCCGGGGTCCCTCTTGGACCGGCTTCCCAACAAAGGCTCGGCCCAACAGACGACGTTGTGAGCATCGCGCAACTCATGGGCCGACCCAAATACCTAGACGACAGGCCAGAAGGACGATCCAATCTCTAACCGGAAGGCCTGGTCGAGGAGGAACGACGCCCGCTTCTGACTCTGGCCCACCTCTTCGACCGGAGCACTCGCTTCGGTCTCCAGCCCGCCTCAGGACGACCTCTTTGACCGGAAGGCCTGGCCAAACACCACTTCTGACTCCGACCCGCTTCTCCGACCGGGGATACGCCGAACCCCTGCTTACAACTCCTCTCCAACTAGCGCAATCAGAGCCAACTGGGACCAACCGATCGGGGACGCCCGCTCGGTAAGGACCAGGAAACGGACGGAGAAAGTAAGGCAGCACACTCAAGTCAACCGCAATACCAAGTACCGTACCCTGTACATCTACGGGACAGTACCCTGTGACCTCCCTAGCATGACAGAACGTAAGCAGTGTTGTAGGCGCCGACATTTTCCCCTACAGTGTTGTAGGCGCCATCAACTCCCATACCAGACAAATACGGTAAGACTCTCCCCACGTGCTTCTGAGGCATCGACAATGTTGTGGGCGACGACATTTACCGTGCCAGGTGAACATGGTAAAACCCTCTGCATGTCTCTCGGCATCAATAGTATAGCAGGTACCGACATCTGCCGTACCTGAAGAAGACAACGCAACCTCCCACGTGCATCTGATATTCAACAGTATTGGGGGCGCCTACCATCATCCTGTACCCACCGGCGTGGGCAGCAAGACTTAGTAGCGAACGTACTCTCTCCCTCTCACTTGTAAGGCCATCCCCTTCATCTATAAAGGGGATGCGCTCTCTTCCAACAGATAGGTTGATTCAGATCGATCAAGTTCACTAGGACACAACAACAGAACTACCAGGTTCAAACCCCGAGCACACGCTCGAACACATTGCACCTAATGGAGCTCCCGTCACTCTCGGCCCCTCTAACCAAAGTCCGACCGGACCTCTTGTACCCCCATCTTTCTCCTTCTCTTTTGTAACCCCACTACAAACTTTGAGCACCTGGGCTCACGAATAAAGTCATCGACCGACTCAAACTGGACGTAGGGCACGTTGCCTGAACCAGTATAAACCCTGTGTCATTGAGTGCTAGGCCACCTCCGATCACAATGTACGACAAAACTACAAATATTTACGTGTTGATCACTTTCTGTACCGACACTAAATATCATTGATTAATCATATAGAATATAAATCTACTTGGAGATATGAATGTCGAATCTATTGTCTATAAATTAAGTTAAACTTAAGAAAATTTGATTTGATCAAAATTTGAAATTACATTTTTTTTTGGACAGAGGGTGTAAATGCTTTACGTGTCTATGCATGGTGTGTGCGTGTGTTTGTCCTCGTAGAAGAAATATTTTTTTTTGGTTACAATACAACACTGAGTTGGATAATGCGAGAAATTTCATTTCTTAGTTTCATAGCAGTATTGTAGGTGTACATGACATACATCCAAGTGCAAAGTTGGATAGTGTTGCAAAGTTGCAGACTCGTCGGTACTTCCCTGCAGTTACCGTGTATATGCACTGCTATAAAGAAGAAGGGACAAATGCAACGCCTAACATGTATAACATGTAATCAAATATTCTACGCATGAGTAGATTTTAATCCAACTGCGGTTGATCCGGGTACGGAAGGAAATCTACATATACGTATGTCGTATATGCTGTGGTTAATTACATAAATCCGCGTCGTAGTGCCACCAGCCAATAAGAATCTAGTGTTTGCCTACACCAATCCGCGGCACATCCTAATCAGAGCCGTCCGATAATGCAGGAGTCCGTTGTGCGTCTCGAGTACGTGCCTACTGCCTATATAAATAGCGCCCCCTCCCCCACCGGCAAATTACATCACGGGCTCACGGGCTGAAGAGCGGCCTAGCAACGTCTACATCTACAAGGCATCATCAGTAGTGCAGCAGTTGCTAGCGCGCACACACACACACACGATCTGTGACTGTGAGAGGTAACTAGATAGACCCATCTCCTTCGATCATGTTTACTTAGTCTCCTTATTACTACTTTAATTTGTGCAGTACTAACAGATTTGGTGATCTATATTCTTGCTTTATCGGCTATCCATATATCTATCTACATGTTGGCCACTGCCACATGCTTTAATCTGTTGTTTGTGTAGTTCATTTTCTTTCAACTGGCTGTGTTTGGACGACCTTGGTTGTTGGTTTTATAACGTGTATTTGTGTTTCTAGGGTTTTAGTGCGCGGGCAATTATTGATTGCAAACTCTAATATGATTACGCTAGACAGTAATCTATATATCCCCACTCTGCTCAGGGTTTATTCATCATTTTTGCCGTACAAGCGTTCATACTTGATAAATGATTCTTCGTTGCATGAGTACCGAGTACATGATTTTGTTTGCACTTCGCAGTTCTATTCTCTCGACTTTATATCTCTAACTCTAAACATGTTTCTGTGTATTGTTATGCCCTGATATTGTAACAGAGAGGAAACGGCAACTCAATAGTCATTAGTGTTCCTTTAGTATCCAGGCGATGAATTAGGTTTCTGTTCAATAACGCTCGAAACATCATGAAGTCAAGCCCATGCTGATTGGCCTGGATTTGCACTGTGTAGTTCCCACATCTGAATTCATATGTCTATCTTTATCTGCATACGTGTTCTCAATTTATTTTCCTACTGCTACACATGACATGATTCAGTTAGGCATATATATGCTAGTGTGTGACAGTAGTGGTTCTGTGAACATTTCAATTAGATGCAAGATTTATATACTACTGTTATATATAATACATACTTATTTCTGTTCCTCAGAAGCATTTTATTTTCAGTTACAGTATACTGAGGATTTCTTTTGTACATGCAGTATATATATCAATAATCATCAATTTAATTACTATATATTTTGTTTGCAAGATGGCTCGTACTAAGTGTTGGGCTCGTAAGTCGACCGGAGGAAAGACACCAAGAAAGCAACTCGTTCGAACGATCTTTGTATGCGTGTATATGTAAAATTTGTATGTTAAGTACCATACACACTTGCGTGTTGAAACTTGTTCTAACATTAGTAGTATGGCTTTGCATTGTGACCGTAGGCTGCTGCTCGCAAGACAGCGCCAGTAACAGGAGGAGTGAAGAAGCCTCGTCGTTACCGCCCTGGAACCGTAGCTCTTCGGTACGTACGTGTGCAAGTGCAACACAGCTGATTTTATCTGGGTTGCTTTTGCTATCAATTCAAGAATTGTACGGCTGTAATTTCCATGCAAGTAACCGTGTCACAACTGAATCTGAACCTCACATTGATTTATTTTCTTGCAGTGAAATTCGCAAGTATCAGAAGGGAGCTGAGCTGCTGCTCATCAGGAAGATGCCCTTCCAGAGGCTCGTCAGGGAGATCGCCCAGCTTCACAAGGTATGGTTGCTAATTTGATCACCACCACATGTGCGCGATCTGCAATTTTTCTTCCTTGTTTTTTTTTTCTTTCGAAGCATTTGTAATATCTGAATGCAACTTCATGCATGCATGGCTATATATATATATATGCACATATGCAGAGTGACCTGCGTTTCCAGAGCCATGCGATCCTTGCTCTGCAGGAGGCGGCAGAGGCGTATCTCGTGGGTCTCTTCTGAGGACACCAACCTGTGTGCCATCCATGCCAAGCGAGTGACCATCATGCCCAAAGATGTTCATCTGGCTACCAGGATCCGTGGCGAAAGGCACTAATCCTATTGCGTCGTCAATGGAGCTACCGATCGACAACCTGCTGCTTAGTTTATTTTGTCGTGAAGCATTACCTTAAGTTTGTATCAGACATTCTATATACTGTATATCGAATAACTAGGCAGTTAATGGTAGCCTCCGCTAGGTTTTCTTTTGCCGGTGTAAGACGATAAGTTTTACGTAACTGAAGTTATATCAGTCACGTTTTTCTGCATGTTTTCCTGGCTGTTCAGTTTCTTTCGTCTTTTTTTTTTTTCGTAACTGCAGCCATATCCGTCACAATTTTCTGCTTGCTTTCCTGGCTGCTGATCCTAGGATCTCAAAGGTCACATAGATCTCGACATCTACGCTGCTAGTGATGGTATTTCTTATATGTATCTTTTACCTATGAAAGTTGTGCTATTAGTTGAGAGTCTATCCAGAAGGATATTGGTTGTTGTTGCTCTTGCCAAGCAGTTGTTTTTTTTCTTAAGTCAATGACTTTAGATTAAAATAATATTTCCTAGATAAATGAAAATTCTTGGTCTTATCTGTTCTATTTAAAAGCTTTTTTTCATGCCAAACCCATGCTTTATATAGAACACAAAATATGTTGCAATAAATATAATGACTCATTTTTACTATATGGTATGAGTAACTGAGTCAATTTTTGGGGAAAAGAAGAGATGGACAACGAAATAACTCTGCATCCAAAATTTTATATTTGGCAACCAAGGCTAAATGCCATATTCTTGCTATCATACTTATGCACACTATGCTTAATGCGCCTGAAAGCTGTCATCAGCCTGGTCGCAATATATAGATTCCACCAGGCCCCTCCATACGCAACGTAGAACCCGGGCCTTGTCTTGCTAGTCCCTAGGGGATTAGCGCCGAAGCAGCTAGGCGTGGTGGTGACGATGTCGTAGGCGGGGTCGTTGAAGAGAGTGCCGTCGGAGACGACGCCAAGGTACTCCATGATGGTGGCCGTGAAGCGTGACTTGCCGCAGCACGCCGGCATGGCGCTGCCCATCGTCATGGTGGTGTGCTTGCTGCTAGGTCTAGTGTCTAGCACCCACCAAACCATAGACGCAAGCAACAAGCTCCTGACGCAAGCAACAAGCTCCTGATAACAATATCTAAGGGGGCTTCATAGGCTCAGCTACAGTAGGGCATGAGCCCCCCTGACCGTCATTGCTAACCAAGGAGGCTCCCATAGACTGCAGTCTACACAAAGAGACTACCGATGCTAACATAGGGCATGAGCATGATGGCTCTCCCAGACAGATAGAAACAATAAGTCGTAAAACACCACAACCCAGAGAAACCTAGCTCCACGTACATGCACACGAGGGTGGTCAGGGCATAGGAGCTGAAGGAGAACCAAACGCCAACAGTAAGGCAGGAGAGACTGTCACCTTGGCCTCCAGCACGTAGGCATAGGTGCGCAGCCCGAGCCCAACCGACATGCCCGAGAGGAGGAGTGCGAGCACCATGCACCCACACAGGAACCTCCTGGCGAGCGGGTGCATATCGGTGACGGTGTTGTTGCCGCTCACAGCCACCTCCACCGTGGCGAGCCCGCACACAAACATGGAGGACATGATGTGAGGCCAACAATGTGGGACTGGAACTCGTCGATGCCCTGGTAAACTGGCGCCTGAGCAATGCAGACGCTGGGAGGGCTAATAATGGACGTAGCTGGTAGCTCGGCGAGTCCCAGTCCAAACATGAAGAGGGCAATCAGTGCAATGTTCGCGGTCATGAGGACCTCGGCGCACATCGCAAAGCATGCCATACCAGACGGTCTGCAAACGACATGGATGCCGCACGCGGTTAGGGTAAGATCAAGATGTTTTTTTTGAAAAGTCGGCAAAAGCTTTGTCAAAATATATTAGAAGGATGAAAGGGAAAAGGTTATTTACAAAAAGATTTACAAGGCTCTACCGAACTCACCCAACCCTGTAAAAAACACACAGAACTTCAGCAGAGAGATCTAAAGGGGCTCCAGAGGCTCGGCTGCAGTAGGGGGCATGAGCCCCCTAGCCGAGAGTCATGTTCTGGCGCATCAGCACCCTCGCCTTGGTGATGACACACTAGGGGCTGCCACCAGGACACGGTGCTTCACATGGTTGGTGATGGCTGTGGCGCCGAACATGGCGAAGACGAAGAAGAACGCGAGCCTCACGACCAGCTGGTAGTGCTCGAACAGCTTTGCAGCGCAGGGCCTGGCTAGTTTCCGCAATAAATACATGAAAGACAGGAACTTAACACAGGTTTCCAAAAGGGGCTTGTGATTCTCATTTTTGTATGATTTAATGGTAGTGAAGGACCAATTCATAAAGCTAGAAAAATTTAAACTAGGTGACGGTTCTCAAATCAGGTTCTCGAAGGATACCTGGTTGGGAACATCCTTTAAAAACACAATATCCAAATCATTATAATATTGTTCGACGAAAATAGGCTATAGTAGATTCAACTCTCAGTACTGTTCCTCTTAATGTTTCCTTCAGACGGGCATTAATAGGGAATAGTAGTTAGGGTGGAATAATCTCGTAGCACTAATTGCAAACATTGGTTTACGAGTTGAAAGGGATACGTTTTTTTGGCTCTTGAAAAGTAATGGTTCCTTCCCAGTAAATTCCATGTACAAACACCTTATCAATATGGGTATCATCCTCTCACAAGAAATATGGCATTTAAGATTACAACTGATTTTTTTTTGTGGTTCCTAAAGAGAGGAGTGATTTTAACCAAAGAAAACTTAGCAACAAGGAATTGGAGCAGGAACAAATCTTGTGTGTTTTGTTGTAGAGATGAAACAGCTAGACACCTCTTTTTTTTTAACGTACCTATGCTAAATTCCTTTGGTAAGCAGTTTATTTGGTTTAGGTCTACGTCCTCCATTAAATAATCTTGATCTTTTTCATGCATGGCACAAACAGGGGGGGATCAAACAATATCTTGATTTTGTTAGGAGATGCAGCCATTTGTTGGACAAAATATAGCTTACAAGAAATGAAATGATTTTTGACAATTGTCGACTGTCGGTGTTTTGACAATGGTCCATGAGCATTCCGAGTTGAATCACAAAAGGTAGACGAGCAGTAGCTGAACCGTACTGCTCTGTCTCATGCACTACAGGAAAACGCCTCTTTGCCGACTGCTTGCCCCGGTCGGCAAAGGCATAAACCCAGTCGGCAAAGGCTTTGCCGACCGCAAAGCCACGTGGCAGTCGGCAAAGAGCAGTCGGCAAAGCCTGGGTCGGCAAAAGGCGGATTTGCCGACCGCCACGTGGCACGATCGGCAAAGCCTTTGCCAATCGCCACGCCAGCGATCGGCATAGCCGTGGCGCCGTCACCGACGGCGAGCTTTTGCCGATCTTTGGTTCCTCGGCGATCGGAAAAAATTTTTTTCAAAATTGTTTGTTGCGGTAATTTCGCCACTTCGGCGGTCGGCAAAGAAAGAAAATATTTTTTGAAATGTTCTTTTTGCCGATTGCTTTTGAGTTGCTGGTCGGCAAAGGTTTGACCTCTTTGCCGTTTGCCCCCCATCTTGATCGGCAAAGACTACGGCACAGGGTTTTTGCCCGGCTTTTTGCCGATTGTAAGCGATCAACAAAGCTGGAATTTTTTTTTTGCTTTTGTTTTCTGTTTTCTCGCATCAAAACCCCGCAAAATCACAAATTATAATCCAATTTCACCGGAAGCACCTAGGTAGCACCATTTATATCACAATTTCATCACATTTGTCGCCAACATCACCACATATATCACAATAACGCACAACATCACATATATGTCACAATAACAACCACACAAGTGCATTACAACCATCACATGAAGTCCAACACGTCGAACACCACAAGTCGACGTCCATCACACGAAGTTCAACATAACAAGTCTAGGTCCATAACGAAAAAAAGAAATACATGACAACAACTTGACGACACGGTGGATACATGATAATGAATCGACAAATACCTAGCTCGTCGCGCCGTCCCGGTCTCGTCGTCGTCCGCTCCGCCTCAGAGCCCCTGTGGTTTGCCCACGGAAACCCCTTGTACCAAATCGAGGCGCTGCAGCGTCTTGCCCACCCTCCGCGCACCGACGGCCACGAGTACGTCGGAGGAGGGCCACGCGGAGGTGGATACGGTGGATAGGGTGCAGTGGTGGATACGACATCATCGATGGCGGGACCTCCGAGAGACGGGTTCGAACCCGCCGATCGCATACTCGCATGATTAAACGCCAAGTGATGTCATTAGTATCTCAAAGCATGGACGCACAAGTTAAAGCAAGAGTCAATATACTCACCGGGGTCCCTCCGGGGGAGCGGAGGAGAGTGCGGGAAAAACTCGGAGGAGGAGGCGGTGGAGCGAACATTGAAGAGAGGGGTGTAGACGCGCCGGCGTCTGCATGGACCGGAAGAAGCTGGCCATGTTACGCATCCGAGTGTTGTAGTCTTCTTTGCGAGCTTTCTTTGGTAAGCCATCATTGCGCCATCATCTCGCGTGCAACGTGACGATCCTCTCCTCCATCTTGGCCTCCATCTCGGGCCTGCAATATTACATCCGCAGTGTTGATTGTATGTACAAAAGCGTAAAGCAGTGAACGACGAACGCAAACGGCACTTACGTGACGCCGATCGCCGCCGGGCGCTACGGGGATGTCATTTGGAGCTCGTGGGCGTGGATCGAACACAGGTCGGCGAGGGAACAGGGACGGGTCGAGGGCGCTGTAGGCCATGTAGTAGCGGCCGTCGCTTGCCCTGGTCCCAACCTCTGCAGGAGTGCGTGTCTGGGGCTCGGCGGTGGGGTCGAACGTCTCCCGAAGCGCCTGGCGAGCCGCGACGGTGTACTCGGTGGCCTTCTCGTGGCGGTGGGGTTGGTGTACGATCGGGCCCGTCCTCCGGGTTGTAAGCGTTGTTC